TTGTATTTCAGGTTCACATACATGTTTTTGAAAGTGACACGCATTAAAATTACAGCAGATATCCAGGAATGGATGACTCACAGACCTGGGGACACTGGCTCTCGTCCCACTCTCTCTTCCTCTAAGCGTGACACCAACTTTGCTTCTATGTACAGTTAGAATACTGAAGACCAGGATGAAAAAGAAGAATGAATGGATCATGATGTGACCTTACTCCACATTACCTCAAGCTGAATCTTAAGATAGGATGAAAGAATATGCCATGACAGATTGCTTGTTGGATAACTTAAGAACCAACTCCCCCGGGAATTTATTGTACTCCTCCAAATTCTTCAAAATTTGCCTATCCTACCCATTACTCCATACAAGTCCTTATCCACAGGGGAATATGAGCCTTTGGAAATAAATGTTCATATGCCTTATAATCTGTTTCTAACTCTTATTAATTCATATCTTATTTTAAGATTACAGTTGCTTTTGACTGTTTAGCTTTCCCAGCACCACAGATCTGATGGCAGAAATCACACCTTTTCTGCTTTTCCATAGTTCATTGACTGTGTACCTTTTCATGCTGTGACATATTCATGACGAACTTCATTGATAGCCCAATTTGATGCATAAGCAATAATTACAGACCCTGACTCACAGTTACTTAGGCACAGTGACATTATAGCATCACAACCTCAGAAAACACGACACAAGCCAAGAAATAAGGTTTGGTGTTTTGGTAGTGCAAATAAAAGTAGATTACCGGCTTCTAACCATAGGGAAACAATTACAGCTGGAACTGCCATAGCAGCAATATATGATGCTTAATAAAGTGATATAAGAAATCTCATGATGCTATAAAAATGGATTGTCTATTCTTAGCTCCAAACTGGATATGACTTTTCCCACACAAAGAGGCTGCAAACCCCATCAATAACCACGGCCCTTGAAATTTCAGCTTCTGGCCCAAAACTTACTAATCCTCACAGAGGGAATGCAGCTGTCCAATCAATCTCCTCTTAGAGCCAGAAAGTCAGAAATCTATATGACCATAGGCCTCGTGTTGAGAGAATATTGATGGGGAACACTCTTCTAAAAAACTATCTGATGGACTCAGAGCCAATGACATCAGAATCAGAAACTTTGTTTTCTTTTCATCAACTTGAATCTGTCTCAAATCTCCTAGCAGTCAAGGGTGGGCTACCTGGCTTCCCAGACTTTATTGCAGCCTCTGCCCTTTATAGGAACCCGAACAACAAAGCACAAGTCCCTATTTCTGCACTGTGCTGTATGAATAAGCTCAATATTTTATAACATGCTGGAGGATTCTCTTCTCTGCCCTGAAAGGGTTCCAGCCAAAGAAGACGCAATCAACCTTTTTACTCACCTGCATCAAAGAAGGAGGAAAATAGGAAAGCAGAACAAGTAATATCTCAATTCTTATTCTGCTATAAACTAAGACTCTCTGAGAAAGACCTAATAAGGAAGCAGGTATCTCACTGTAGACAGAGCATTTCAGATAAGAATGACATGGGACATGCACAAAAGAAAGCAATCTGGGCCAGAACTGGACTAATGAAAGTAGATCTCAAATACCCTAGTAAGGGAGAAAAAATGCAAGAAACACTAAACACATTTTCTTTGCTGCTTGAAATATGGGCAAAGGACCTAGGAATCATCCTCACAGGACCCCATCTTCATGAATTCCAAGATCCACAACCTTTCTGTAGTGTTAGAAATAAAGTTACAACCCATTTGTGCATCAAAGTCAAAATATTGGACAAAGCTAGACAATCTGTTTTTTAAGGACTGATTTAACTGCAAATCACTCTATGCATTCAAGGAGTGGGAACGGGAATTCGAGCGTCTGCATGTAACTTTTCCACGGCATCCATGATTTGAGAAGTAGCAGGTGCCATGACCCAATTTATTGCACCATCCAATTACTAAAACAAATTAGAGTTCTGGAAATTGGCCAATCATTTGAAGCTAAAGACTTGTGCTTTTCAAAAGGAGTGGAGAAAGCCTAGCTTATCTTTCCCATCACAGACACAGCCTACATAAGGCAATTTCCCAACCATAATACATAGTCGCAAAGGTTGCTATTTCCCTGCTGGTTGTTGTCCAAGTGGGCCTGGATAAGTCTGGTGAACAGTCAGCCAGTCTGTATACCAGTGACGATATAATACAGCATGTCTTTATATTACAGAAGTAATCTAGTAATTCACACTTATTGATAAACAAAAATTATCCAGACATTATGTAAATAAATAAATAAATAAATCGTAGAAATAAAACTAGCCTATTTATCTGTAGCCACTCTTAATAACTTGCTATTTATTTCTCCAGACCTTTCAACCACACAAATATAAATAGAATACATCTAATTATTACAAGAATTGGGTCATTTCACATGTGATATGATTTTCTAACTTATTTTCTCATGCATACATTTCCACATAAACAAGTGAACTTCCATTTAGTCATTTGAACATCTACAGAGCACACCACTGTGCTACACTCATTTTATTATAAACTTGTAGTTTATCTTCATTTTTTTTAGATCATTAACAGTACTACAATGAATGTACTACCACTATATTTCTCACTGTTCCCTTGGGAGAATTTCTTTCAAAAGGATTTTCAGGTCAAAGCTGTTCAGATTTCATAGGCTGTTTTGATGTACATTGTTGGATTGCCCTTCAGAAGAGCTGTTCCAATTTATACTCCCACCTGTGTGGTGTGGGTGAGTGTCCAAAGCATTAATCTTAATGCTCTGCAGTAAACTCAGTGACAGACCCAACTTCTTGTGATGGGAAGAGTATGATGCCCTTACAGCCTGTGTTTATCATTCTGCGCATCAGCACACCTCTGAAGCAAATCGGGTGTGGATCAACACACCTGCTCCACTTCAACAAAAAGTCTTCAAGAGATGCTCAATCGACAACAAATCTTAAACCATATTTCATTTTCTGAAACCTAGTTTAATCAGGTCTGCATCTGAATCTCAGGTTCTTTGTCAACCAGCTATTCTTGAAAGTCCTTTCTTTTCCTAAAATCGATGTCCCACACTACAGAGGGAAAGGAAAAGCCCAGGCCCTTCGTCAGGCCCTGTCTCCTCTCTGACCATCCTTGCTCCATTTCCCTGCAGGATGCCCTGACTCCCTATGCTGTTTCTAATAGGACATTTCTAAGGTCTCAGTCTTCGGATGTGCTCTTCTCTATTTTAGAATATTGTTCATCTTTTCTTCTCACTCCCACTCTTGCAAAATTCTATTCATCTTGAAAGCTCATATTCCAGAGTACCTCCCTGTGAAGCTTTTTCTGGACTCCCCCATAGCCACTCTATCTTATCTGCCTAGGTTGTTTGTGGCTCTTGACCATTCTGGGACACTGAATACCATGGCATCATGTCTGTCTCTTCTGGGAGATTCTGTGCCCTGTCTCCTGAGCCGAGTGCATGCAGTTCCATGAGTGCTTGAGCAAAGCATCAATGAGCATGTCCCAACTTCATGAATCCATTGTGACTTCAGAGATTTACTCAAATCTGTATCAACGTAAAGGTGGGTGTTTTGCACACATAAGAGCCAGGTATTTCTTCGGGGCATATCTTAGAACCAGGCTCTTCTCAATAACATAGACCTCCTCTTGGTTATGAACACAAGCAGTCCCCAGTTCTCAACCCTGGATGAAGGGGGGAAGAGATTAAACTGAATCTCTCCACAGGTGCTGTGGCATCAGCCAGGCACGATCCATCACAGGGCGCCTGGTTACACACAGAGGTGAGCTGGTAGATGGGAACTGGACCAGATCTTTGCATTCCTTTCCAGCAGTAACCAAGGCAGAACAGCAAAAATAAACAAGAGGAAATTAAAGGGGAAGGTGTGTTTCCACTGTTCTTAACTTCATTGTAGGGGACTTGGGCTAAGGACCCAAAGTGAACTGATCTCAAATAATCTGGACCTTTTACAAGCTTGTCGTCAAGCAGTGCTTCATGAGTGCTAATCAGTGAACTGCTCTCTCATTATTTTCACACAGCAAAACATTTCCAGTTGTTTTTCAAATCTCTTCTGATCAAAGATATGTTCTTTTATTTGTCAAGGAATTACATCCTAACCACACCACAGTAGCAATATCAAAACTGCAACAAGGCATTACTGGGCCCAAGCTCTGACTTTGGTAAATGGAATTCCAGGAACTGGGGAACTGCATTAAAATTGCCCTCTAGGTAGCCACGTAAGTACCTCTGAACTCAGAAGCTGCGAAGTCCATTGCTTTAAAATGAACCCTTAGCAAGGCACCTACCCTTTTTTGAATTTTTGTTATCTCACACAGAATCTCTGTTTGTGTGCGCGTGTGTGTACAATGTTATCTCCACAAAGAGGTACTTCCAGACTGCTTTGTCTACAATGGTCCTGTCACTTTCTGTCGCCTCCTTGTATAGCTTGACATTCTGCCTGGCATTCATTACCCCCATTATTCTACTGGACTATTTGTTCATTCGCCTGTATTTGTTGATAAAGCATCAAGAATGGATTCAAGAATAGCGGCTAGCAATACTATGAATCATAACAACAAATAAATATTTATTTACTGAATGAATGAATATGGATACAAATTGCACCTCCCACCATAATATGGTTAAATGAGCAATATGCCAAAGTGTCTATAGAATCATATAATTTAGAACAGCTAATAGTTCTAATAACATTAACAGTAAGCATTCCACCAACATGTTAAAATGCTTTTTGATGCAAACCCAGCTTCTCCCAAGAAAGAACTTGTAGTAACTTGGAAAAATGGAAAGTTACTTCTCCTGGGATAACTTACAGTTCTCTAGAATATTTTTACTGTTGTTGGCAAGATTTTAATGTGTTTTATTTGCTTATTCGTATATTTGGTGGAAAACATGATTGACGATATCCTTTTTCTCATGCCCAACACTTAATAAGTTTCATGATTAAATTTTGGAGAGAAATATGAAGTTTTCCACTATCAAATTACAGGTAGTAGTGCTCGCTTCAGCAGCACGTGTACTAAAATTTTGGACCAATACAGAGAAGATTAGCATGGCCCCTGTGCAAGGAAGACACACAAATTACAGGCAGTGGTTTGAACTCAGTCCACTGGTGCAGACATTGCTAGCTGTACTCATGGATCCTCTTCTATTCTCCCAGATTTCTCAATTGTATCTAATAAAAACAACTCTCAAAAAGTACGGCGGTGTCCACTAGTGTGCTGACCTAAGCTTTCCCACCATGACAGTAATGAATGCACTTACTGTTTTAATGATTGCAAGTATCATGTATTATAGAACTGACAGTTTTGAGTCCTCTGTTTTTCGCCTTCATTTCCATTCATTTTCATTCTGCATAGGCCCCTGTCCAATATTTGTCTTCTTGGTCCATGTTTTGTCATAGTGGATTTGCATTTCTTGTGAGAATCCCATCATCTTTATTCATGATTTGGTTCTTTTTTACATTTCATATACTGCTTGGTTATGCAAATACATGCTCAGAAATTATTTTTAATATTTTTTTTGGAAAGGCAGAAATACAGAGAGAAGACAAAACAGAGAGAAACATCTTCCATCCGCTGGTTCACTCTGCAAGTGGCTACAACAGCTGGAATATAACTGATCTGAAGCCAGGAGCCAAGAACTTCTTCAGGGTATCCCACATGGGTTCCAGGTCCCAAGGTTTTGTGCTGTCTTCTGCTTTCCCAGACTACAAGCAGGGAGCTGGAAGGGAAGGGAAGCAGCCGGGGAACAAATTAGCACCCATATGGGATCTCAGATGTGCAAGGCGAGGATTTAGCCACAAGGTTATCATGCCAGATCTGCTTAGAAATTCTTAAAATCCTGTATTAACTAGATGAAAGCCTTGTTTTCATTAATGAGCAATCTCACACACTTGCATTTCTTGTAAACAAATGAGTCCAAAATAGGTGCTAAATTTAACATTATACATTCTCTCAATTCTAAATTTTAAGAGATTAACCAAGTAAATATTCAGAAACATGTACTGCTTGTACATGTCCCAACTGGAATCTTCACTATCATATTTTATGAAATAACAGATTTGCTTCTCACATGACTACCAGATCCTTGCACCAGCTAAAGTAGCCAAAATAACACATCACCTAGTTAGGCCTTAACAGTATACACTTTAGTATTCAATTTTTGAGCAGAGTTCTAGCATAGGAAAGAAACCAACAAGCAGGAATCTAGCAAGAAGAACTCACCAAGGTAAGGAAATCAAGAACAGCTAATCTGAGGAGAGAAGTATCAACCAGCGCTCTGCACGAATCTTGCCCTTGACTAGCAGTGAATGCATCGTAAAATTATTCCTAGAAAAACAGATAATATACTTTTCCAATGCATTGCCAAAACTGAGCCTGGGACAAAAATTTGGTTCCAATAACAAAGCACAGAAGAAAACGTTTTTACTTATGAGATAAACTGTCAGTTCACTTAGGAAAGTCCCAGGTCTTCCTCTCAAGGAAACCCTAGAAAAATGTCCCCCGGGAACCCTAATGAGAGGGAATGTGTGCAACGGAGCGAACACCTCCTCAGAGACCTCCTCTATTGAGTATCAAGGAGGGCTAAGCAAGAGTGTTTCCCGTAACACCCCCAGCAGCAGTAAATGCCAGTCCCCAGAGGGCAATTCACAAAAAGCGATTCCTGAGGACTTGGAACAGTGGCGTCCCTGGGTACAGCCCTCAATTCTGGAATAACTTGCAGTGAGAGCGGGCTTGCTTGCTCATTCAGTAAATATTTATTGAGTATCTGTATGGATCAGCTACTGTGCTGGTCACTGGGGAGGAAGCAGTGACAAGCGAGCTGTAGCCCCTTCTTGCAGAGAAAGATACACCAACACCTCCAAAACATGACAGTGCGGGCACAGACACAGGACTTTAATTCCTTAGCATTTTATACCCTGTTGCCTTTCCTTCTCTTCATTACAATTATTCAGGTTTCACTATCTCACAGTCTGTTACTGAAATCAGCATAACCTCCAACATCTAGTTCAGAAAGCTTAGATCTCCGACCCACACCTCCTCTTTCAGTTTCAATTTATAGACGCATTTTGGTCTCCCCAAACCACCCAAGACGTCTTTATTACTATCCATAAGGCAGCCCTTCTCTTGCTTTTCTTTGTTATTCATTTAGCTCACATATTTTAGCATCACTATCACCTGCTGGAAAATGTCCTCTCCTTTCTGCTCCTCTCACCTGGAACACAACCAACCCTTTCTGAAAGCAGTTTTCCCGCACCTCACTTGAAAAGCTAAATGTTATTGGAGAAAATACACAAGTAACTTTAATGGCCCATTTCACTTTAAATTCACAAGAAGCTTCTGAACGAGACACTCCACTTAGGTCACATTTCCCTAGTCGAGTTCACCTTTCAGTCTCAAAGTGACTCGTTTGCACCTTCCGTAGTCTCTCTTAAGGCTCCTTCAGGTGTGAATTAGTTGCGATTCATCCAATGTTCTTTATCATTAAAAATGCAAACCATCAGACAAAAATCCTATGTTTTTTCCCCACCAAATCTAGAGGTCTGCTTGCTCTCTCTCTTCTGCACCCCTCCTATTTCAGTTAGTGCAACACTGCTCCTCCAACTGTCCCATGCTCCCTCTGAAGGTCTGTAACATGACCCCTGACCCCTCAAGGAGTCCTCTCTTCTTTGCCAGAGTTTTCACCTCTGTCTCACTATGGCTATCATTCCCAGGAATGCATGAGCACGCTTCAGAATTGCTCACGGTAAAAGCAAACACAATCAAGCAGAAAAGTCAATTCCCTCATTGAACACCCCCCACCAACAGCAGTCTGTCTTTCATATAAAATGTAGGGGGGAAAAATTCATCTTTCCAACAGTTTACTCCACTCTTACTGTTACTCAAAAGACTCTACTGAACTGCTGTGTTCAGGACACCGTGAACTTTGCGCTGCAACTATAACTCACTGTTTTGTTTCCCTCTTTAACCTCTAGCCATTCCCGCCTGTCAATCCACCCACCTTCCCTTGATCTCCTTCCTACCTCCGCGACTCTCCTTAATGTATTCGCTGGCACATCCCTCACGTGCAAGGCCGCACCTCGGAGCTGTTTACCCTTGAATTCACCATCCACTCGACACACGGGTGTGAGAGAATAGTGGGTTGTCCAGTAAATTCTACACAGTTCACCCAGTTGACCCTCAGACAAGCACACTCTAGCACTGAAGTCTGGAGAACAATTCTAGGAAAGAAAAGGGATTTCAAGGAAAAAATCACAAAGATCAGGAAATTACAGTTAGCTAAATCAAAAAACAGAATTATTCCTAGGAAATAAATACTGTACCTTTCTATATATTTACTAATGTTGAGCCTGGAGCACAAACTTGGGTCTGTAATGGGCAAAGCAAAGAAGAAAATATATTTACATAGGAGACTCCCCAGAAAAGTCTCCGGGCAAGGAAAGTGACAGGACACGTCATGTGGGCCGTTAATGAACTCTGGGCATTAGGTGGTGGTGGTACTGACTATGGAAAGGCATGGACTAACCCAGGACATGCATCTGGTTGGTGCTGCTATCTGGACCTGGTTATTGAGAAGGTAATAGATGAGAGAAGTCAGGGTTAAGGGTAACAATCAGGATGGTAGGGGGAGACGGGCTGTACATAATACATCCTTCAGAATTTTCCAGAAATCTGGATTCTCCCAAATGAGCTCTTGAATTAAAGCAAAAGATTTTATGTTTATTATTCTGGGGGGAAACATGTGCCGATATTGTCCATGAAGAACCACATGCTCTGATCATCCTTCGAGGATCACACATGTGTGCTCAGCGCTCTGTCCCCTGGTGTTACACCTGCTCCATAGTAGTTCATCAGTAATCCAAGAACACACGTATGTACACCTGGGCACTGAAACGCGAGTGGTGACGCTACCCAACTTCCTCTGCCTCTCTTTCCCCTACATTAAATGATACTATTGGAAGTAAATTTCTCTTAGTTTTCTTTGTAAAGGCTTAAGAATGACTGGCACAAAGAATACGCTCATAAAGGAGCAATTTTCATTCACGAAATGTTTCAGGAAACTTCTACCTCATCATGTCAAAGAGTCAAATGACTTCCATGATGGTTTACAAAGCAACCCACAGGTCTTACAAAGAATATGAGTCCGGAGACTTTCCTGGAACTTCTGAGCTCTGCTTCAGTTCTCCAGATGCTCATGGACCTGGACTCCATCAAACACACCTCAGCATCTCTACCCCCGTGGCATCCCCTATTCACTTGTGGGGTTTTGTGGGTTTTTCTTTCCCGGGGTGACCCTCCCCAACACAGACACACCAAGCAAGCCAAGCCCACTAAGCTGTTGCTTACTATATACATACTAAATGCCACAAACTCCATTCTTTCTTCTGATCACTCATTCTTGTGGTCCCATCATTTAGGGACAAAAGGACACATTTATGACACTGTATTAATTACATCCAAAAAGTAAGCCCCAGGGGCCAATGCTTACCTTGGGGACCAGCATCCCATGGGGTACCAGCTTGAGTCCTGGCTGCTCCACTTCTGATCAAGCTGCCTGCTTATGGCCTGGGAAGGCAGCAGAAGATAACTCAAGTCCTTGTGCCCTGCACCCACATGGGATGTCCAGAAAAAGCTTTCGGCTCCTGCCTACAGATCAGCTCATCTACAGCACTGCAGCCACTTGAGAAATGAAACAGTGAATGGAAGATCTCTCTCCCTCTCTATCTCTCCTTCTCTCTGTAACACTACCTTTCAAAAATAAATAAATAAATAATTTAAAAGTAACCCCAGGGCCCAGTGCAGCAGCCTAGTGGTTAAAGTCCTCACCTGCATGAGCCAGGATCCCATATGGGCACCAGTGCATGCTCCAGCTGCCCCACTTCCCATCCAGCTCCCTGCATGTGGCCTAGGAAAGCAGTTGAGGATGGCCCAAAGCATTGGGATCCCACACCCACATGTAGGAGACCTGGAGGAAGCTCTTGGCTGCTGGCTTTGGATTGGCTCAGATTCGGACTTTGTGGCCACTTGGAGAGTGAACCAACAGATGGAAAATCTTCTTCTCTGTATCTCCTTCTCTCTGCAAATCTTTCAATTTAAATAAGT